TTTTTTAATTTATAAAAGAAAAATATCCTAGAGTATAATTCTGTAGAGAATTTTTGTTCCTCATTAGTACGCCTTATAAGTGGAATTGGGAGTTAATTTTAATCTACTAGTGACTGCAGTGAAGTTATCGAGTTTTTTACCGTTTGATTAACACACACGCCCACATGGATATATGTATGTTGATCTAACTGTAAAAAATTCTGGTCAGTGCAGTGTAGACACTCGTCGAGTTTTTTTATCCACATGAACATATGTTGATCCAACGGTAAAAAAAAAAACTCGATGACTATAGTGCAGTCGCTATTAGGGTTGACTGAACGAGTATTGATAAAGTAAAACCAAAAGAAAAAAAAAAAATTGTAAAACCAACCAGACGCAAATGAATGTTTGTTGATCCAACGGTAAAAAATAAAATAAAATAAAATAAACTCGATAACTGCAGCGCAAACACTGGTAGAGTCGATCGACAGAACCGGATTTGAGAGAAAGTAAAAATCAAAAGGAAAAAAAAAAAAGAATGTAAACCAAACTTTTTTACCATTGTGGTCCTACTCCTCACTCTAGAGATGCTAAGAAGATTTTGGTGTATAGTGGCCATTAAGGAGTTTTCACTTCTTTTTATTTTTTTATTTTTTTTTTTATTTTAACTCTACCACCCTTCCCATTTTTTCCTCCTATTGCAAAACTTTTTATTTTTTATTTTTAATTTACCATTTGGAGACCTGCAAAAGCCTTGAATTATCATGAAAAAGTGCATTCACCAAATTGTTAGATAAGAAGGGAAAAGGGGACTTATTGGCATAGAAGAAAAGTCCATTAACTCTGGCAGATGCCAAAATTTTATAGGCAATAATAACCAACCAGTTGCACATAGTAACTAATAAATATCAAGCTTAACATGTTCAAACAAACCTAGAATATCATGTAATTCCAGCAAATATGTACTAGCTCATATATATATTTACATAATGTTTACTAATTAATTAGTTAGTAGATAATTTTACAAAATAACCTTTAATTACTTCACTTTTTTTTTCTTGTTCTTATTTGTTTTTTATAAAACCAAAGCTTTCGACTCGATTTACTCAATGATCTTTTTATTTCATCATACGATTCTTCGATTGAGATCAAATCTACATCGGAGGCTCAGTCTCTGCATTATATCAGAGATTTGATTGTTAGACTTTTCAAGTCTTACATTTCTAAATGATTAATTTCTAAGATTTTAAACGATATATGTGGATGAAAGATCGATACCAAGTTTATTGAAAATATGGCGTTGAAGCCTTAGTTTACCAGTGATATGAGATATCATACTAGGTCGACTTGACCTGACAAACAACTTGACTGAACTGGGTGAACCAGCAGGTCAAATCAAAGTCAAAGAATCCCTAGGCCGATAACGTTGTCGCGTATCCAGGGAGAACAGACAGGCCGAGCAAAGGCTCTTGTATGACCTGATTGAAACTCGACCTGAAGGCATGACTGGTCGTAGGATCGACCAGATGAGCAGAGCAGATGAGCTAAACATCGTCAGCACTGTACCTCAAGGTAATGGTGGTCGGTCGTACGATTAGATCGTCTAATGAGAATGACTAATGAATAACAATGAATATTATTAAACACACGTGGATATGACCACGTTGCCCAACAAAATTGGACAGTTGGCAGTACGGACGAGTAGTTCAGGCAGTCTGAGCAGCATATTCGAGCAATCTTGGGCAACAAGGTAACACATCCATATATAAAGGAGTGAGGTATGCCCATAACAATATTACATTCTATCTACACTTACAGAGCTTACATACACTATTAATGTTCATCGTCCACGTTATACACGTTCTGACTTAAGCATCGGAGCGTAGATCATTGTCTAGGTTCATACTTCTGACTTGAGCATCGCAGGGTCTACGCCTAAGAACCCCTCCGACGTTGAGTTTGTGTAGGTATTGAAGGTCATCAACAGACAAGAAAGACAATCCAAGTCGAAACGAGCCAGTCCAAGGTCTTTTACATACCAAGCAACATCACCCAGATTCACTGTCGATCAGTTTTAAGCCAACTTCTAATCCAAAGTTAGATAATAATTTCTTGGTTTGTTTGTCTTCTCTTTGCCTACAAAACCCGTTCATTTATTCAAAAGTTTCGATCGATTTATTTTTGACAAAAATCGACAATTTAATTAAAAATTATTGTTCCAAATTGAAACAATCTTCAAATCCTCAAAAAATATCCAATAGCACGAGATCGATTCGTTTCTACAAGTGTGTGCAGTACAAAAGTCAAGTTTGTCAATGTCGGATTACACACAAACACAAATACATATCAGCATGGGTTGTGTTTTGATCCAACGGTGAAAAACTCGATGCACACATGTTTCGCATCTGTAATGCACTGCCCTACCAAATTTCAATCCATTTATTTTGGACAAATTTGACATATAATTGGAAATTATTGTTCCCATTTGACTTAAATTAAATTTTCGAGCAAGAGAGATAATGTACTAATATTACATTCCCCTTATTATTCTAGCCAAATTAAAGTTATAAGTGCACTAAATTCTGTTATACATATACACTTGAACCAAATACAATGTAACAAGCAGCTTAAAGCTAAACATGACTAACAATATCATATTACAATCTTTGGAGAGACAAATGTGGAAAGCTTAAACAGTACTAATACTGCTCATCACTTAATTAGATATGTCCTATTTTGATTTCTTTTTAGAGATAGTGTATTGACCATGATAAGCCATTGATTCTTCTATAAATGTATGAGTACTATTTGCAGTTTGGAAAGAGCTGACAACTAACAACATTCGACAAATATATGCTCGATTTATATTATCTAATTGGAATAATAAAGAAAATAATTAAATTTGTTCTTCCAAATAGCAAACACTTATTTAGTCAACCTACCATAATATGCATGCATAGGAAGATTAGAAACCAAAACTTTAAGCTTCGACGTCCAAATTTTTTCAACAGATATGCATAATTTTATATATATTAACAAAAAAGCTACGTTCCATAGTATAAATTTGTACTTTTTACTCTTAGTAAATATTTAACTATATGTAATTTTTTTTTTTTTTTAATCTTTTGAAATCATAAAGACACAAATTTGCTCAATACAAGATAAGATTGACAATACTATAGTTTATCATGCCAATGAAGCAAACAATGAGTTGTCATAGGTAATGCTAAGCCAAGGCCCTTGTCTGGTAAAAATCAATGATCAATCTTTCAAGAATATTGGTTCAATGTATATATATACATACATAAATATATATATAGAAAAACAAATGTTTAGGTTAAGGGCTTATGAGGTGAAGATAACTCATTTCAAGTTGTTAGGTCAACTCAAATCACTATGCCAAATTGAGCTACTGATCAACTGTTTACATGTATTAGAGTACTTGTAGAGAAACAATGTAAGAAAAAAAAATTAAAAAATAACTTATTGCATTAGTCTAAGTTAGTGATAAAAAGCCAAAGACTTTCAAATAATAAATGGCTAAATTGTAAAATATAGTCAGTATCTTGTACGAGTGATAATAATAGTCACCATCTTTATAAATTGACAATATTAACCAACAACTTTCAAAATTTCGAGATTATTACCCAAATCCACCCAAATTCGACAGATAAATTGTAAAATATAGTCAATATATTTTTACGCAGTTGCAACAATAGCTATCGAATTTGGTGGACATGAGTAATAACACCTAAAATTTTGAAAATTGTTGGCTAATATTGTCAATTCGTAAACATGGTGGCTAATATTTCCACCGCGTACAAAATACTGACTATATTTTGTAATTAAACCTAAATAAATAAATAAATAATGGGAATAAGGGCTCATAATATAATAGTTAATTTAGTTAGCACATCAAGTGTGTATTAATTATCTTTGTGTGTGTTTTTCTTGTTTACTTCTTTTGTTATATTTGGACTTTAATTTGACTTAAGGTGGTTAGTAAATCAAAGATACCAAATGGAAGGAATGTATTATAAAGGTACACTTTTTGTTTTTGTTCTAATTAATTACAATGGGAAAAATATTAATTATGCATCATAGTGAAATAAGAGGCCTATTTATTATGTGTTTTACACCCAATTTTAATAGACAATAAAAGTGAAAATTTGAGGGCAACCTAGTCCAAGGTTCCATCATCTCATGAAATATCACTTTCAACTTCAGATGTCCTTTTCTACTCTACCACTCTTTTTTTTTTTTTTTTTTTTTTTT